GCCACAGAAGAAAATCTTAGCCTATTCAGAAAGGTGACATCAATTTTGCAGGAAGATCAGGTCATTGAAGAATGAGAGGTGGACATTACAGCCCTGACCCAAATATGACAGTGTTGGTATAACCTTTACATTTGATACTGTCACAACAAAATTATATTGAAGTTATGAAATCCCTTATGATGCCAAAATGTGGTAAAACCACCAAACCTGGAGCAGTCTACAGCCATTTATTTGAAGAAAGTAGCTTGGGTTGTAAGAAAGCAAAAGCAAAAGCTAAATGGCTTTTCAGGGGGCAGTGTGAATGCAAATCCCTCAATAATATTTAAATATTTCAAGAATATGCTGCGTACATCTAGAAAAGGTTCAAATAGCAATGTTAAAGGTATTTAAAAGTCACATTTTTTCATCAGGGTTTCACTATGCTCAGTGTGTTCCATACTGAGAAGGAAGATGGGGCAGTAGAAGAAAGCTCTGACAAAGTGATGAACAAGATTAAGAATATCTCCACATTATGCATGAACAATAGAAGAAATCTTGGTCCCATTTAATGTAAAAGATGTACTGGGAATGGTGAAAAAATTCTAAAAAAACAAATATCTATTTAAAAAAAGAGAATTATATCGTGGGTGTTTTTTGTTTTAGTGGATTCTTTTAATTGTATGTGGAATAACAGAAAATTAACTTAAGAAAAAAATGACTAAAATTTTGGAGCCACTGACTGGTATTTATTTACAGAGGTGAACAGATTTTCCAAAGGATGTGGGCTTGACACCTGAAAGGACAACCGTCATGTGCCCACTAACCCTACCAGGAGGATGCAAGAGGCATTGCTGTAAGGAAGCAGAGGACGTTACTGGGAACATCTCTCTTAGATAACCACAGTACCAAAAGAAGAAACAGGTTGACAAAGGAATAAAACCTCAACCCACAGTAGAAATCGTACTAGCCACGCGACAGCTAGCAAGGGGACAAATCCCAGCTATTTGTGCTGACACCTCGCAGGCCCACAGAGCCTACTGCAGAGGGAGGAAAGTTTGTGGGCTTCTGAAATGGGGAAGACAAGCTGTTTGCAAGCATATTGGAGAGGGAAGGTGCAAATTCAGAAGCACGGCTAAGAAACTCTTGCCGAAATAGCCTGCACATCACACAAAAAGTGCCTGCAGTAACGGGAAAAGGAGAGAGAGCAGGTCCATCAAAGTGTGGAGCTAGAGGGGTCTGCATGCTAGTCTGAGCTGCAAGTTCAAGCCTTTTGCTGGTCCTGGACACCTCTGAAGTGTGCGGGCAGGACGGTAGATGAGGAGTTGCTGGGTACGTTCAGCCAGCCAAGGCACACGCTGTGTCCAACGGCTTTGCTGGGGAGTAGGTCAGTAACTCCCTAAACTGCACAGGTCCCCTCTGCTCTGGAGGCAGGGGGCTGGGGATGCCCTGGATGTGCTTGACACTCCTTTCCCCAGAAAAAGGGACCCTGCCAAGCTGCTGTAGCACAAATGAAATAAATCCATTCGGGACTTGCTCTGGAGAGGTATTTGGGCAAATGGAGAAAATAATAACAGGCATGACGGAGAGCTGAACAGACTGATGCCCATGGTATGTGCTACTGCCAAGTGGCATGCAAGATAAATTGTAGAGAGGGAAAGGAGCATTTGAAACCATCCTTCAAAAAAAAAGAAAAAAAGACCTCGAAGTAGTGAAGGGAATCATGGAAGTAAATGTGCAACAGAAGAGGCAAAGAAACAGAAACTGGCATCTCTGTTTCATGACAAGATTTGGCTTTTGTTTTGCTCTCACTGTTGCTACTACATAATTCATTGGTGACTGAGGCAGGTTTTAGGACAGTGTCTACTGAACGAACGGCAAGGAATAATTTATAACTTCTGAGGCTGCCACAGCCTGGCCTCACTATACTGCTTTAAGATGAGGCCCCAAAGAAAAAGTTTGCTGGACTTGGCAGAAAGTGATGCTTGGGAATACACGGCAACCTCCTGCCCCTCATAGAACAGATAACACATACTCAGCCTGAATTTCAGCTCATTCAGGAGGAGGACTGCATACGTGAGTCCTATGTACTATGCTGGTGTGCTACCCATGATGAGCTCTCCCAACAAGAGGACAAAAGGACCATTTATCACCCCTGACACTTATTAAAAAGGTTAAGCTGACTCCTATGTATAATTGTATTCTCTCTTAAACAGAAAACAAAGCTAGCTCTCCACACAGTCCCACCCAGGCAGCCCAGTTGTGTCGTGGAGCAATGGCTGGTAGAAGGCAATGCAATCTCTCCTCTGTAACGTGAACTCAAACTGGCAAAGCATCATCCTTGATGAGGTGTTTTCTGATGAATTTGGACTGAGAAACACCAAAAGCTCGATTCTGATCCCATTAAGTCACAGTTTGGCCAATGCTATAAACAGAACAATGCTGAGGTTCAGTTTGTTTTATACACACTACTAAATAGCCATCAGGTGGGGGTGGGTCGAGGCAGTAACCAGCCACAGATGGGAGTCAAACTGCTTACATGGGATGTCCCAGTCCTTGTCACCTCTCAAAGGTGATCAGTCTGTTCGGGTGTGAATACACTGCTGTACCTGAACACCCATGGATTTTTAACTAATGGACCCAAGCAAGCTTGAAATCGTATACAATGTGAAATTAAAGGGTCTTAATCCCTTCAGTATGGTAGGTAAAGAAGGTAAAAAGTTACAGATGACCTTCTGAAATGTCCTCATGTACAAAAGAAACAGCAAATCCCAAAGCTTTGTGTGAGTTAAAGTATTGACGTCAATGGGACTCCCATGGGAAGTTTGGGGAGTTTGCCTTAGCAAGAACAGAACCACTAAATAGGTCAAAGTTTTGACTTAAAACAGGTCAGTATGTCAAAAGTCACAAAGCAAAGTCTGGGATAAAACAAAGGCCAAAGAAAATGCCCCTTCTATTAATTTTTACGAGCAGCATATTGGGCTTTTGAACCGTTCACCAGCCATCTACAAAAGAAGCTATGGGCTGACTACAACAACTAAACTTGAAAGGGGAAGACATTCCTTTGTAGTTTGCGTTTGCTGACTTTGAAGTCACTGTGAGTCTTACCAGTGACTTCAATAGGACTAGCTTTACACTTTTATATTAGCCATTGTTTTATCCTTACTCCTTTCAAAATTCCAGACAATAACATTTCTTTTTATTGTAATCCTGACAGAGCAATTAGGCTTCAGTCCACACCTGCACCCAACTTTTTTCTTAACACAGCATTCTTTGAGCTCCTCTTCTCTGAACAGAATTATGAGATCTGAATTAATGGTGTCTCTCTGCTCTATCCAGTGCCTCTGTTTTTCACGACCTGCTGAAGAACATGAAATTCTTCAAGGCTTGTACAGCTGATCTTTGGTTAAGACCAGCTGTAGGTTTCACCTACAGTTTTATGAGTGTGCTTAACAGAAAAAGAAAAGCTTCTTTTTATCAAGGTGATTAAGCAATAACAGAATGACAGAATGTGGATTAAAATGTAATCATTCACAGGTGCATTCATAACGTGTTTTGAGTCACGAGTTCAGAAGCTGAGTTCCATTCCCAGTCCAACAAGCTATGAAATACTGCCTCATAATTTAAAAATTTGAAAGTGTTTTTGAAATAACAAAACATTTTCTTTCTATCTTTAATATATAAACCAGATACATACACACCGCAAATACTTGCTGAGAAAACATGAGGTTCTCACCCCTCCAAGGCATCCCCCATCTCTCATCTTTTTGGTGTTGAATGTGCAAGCCTCAGAGCTTTGTCTACACAGTCCTCCAGTCCGCAACACCCACCGATACTCCTGTCTAAATTTGGGCTGCAACTGGACCAGCCCCTGCTCCCTTGCTAGTGCCTTTGCAGCATGTGATTGAGGAAAAGTACCCAGAAGAAACCATTTTTTTGCAGTGTTTGCTTGTATAACTCCTCGCTCTCACTCCCTTGGGGGGAAGCTGAATGCCAAACGACAGACCCAAAGAGAAAACGTTGGGTGCTTCCAAAACCTGCAGCTACTCTGTCAGCCCTGGAAGTCCAGCCATGGGAAGGATGAGGAGACTCCAGGGCAGAGCCCACCTTGACTCTAGCCAAAACAACCCCTGGCTCTTTGAAACACCTTTGGGCTGTGGGGTGGTATAAACAAAGGCACCAGGTGTTTGCCATGAAGAATAGCCAGGAATTTTTATGAGATACTCCGTTTCACAAAGCTGCTGCACAGAGGGATTCTGCAACACGGAGCGGCTTGTTTGGGAAAGGTAACTAATGGGATTAGTAGCACTTACTCCCTGTCTTCTTAGGCGATTTATGTTTTGCTAAGCACTTCCAAGCCACGGTTCTCTCCCCAGTTGCTGCATGGTTTCACCTTGCAACGGTGGCAGGGGAGCCCAGAGAGGAATACACGCTGCGGACCTAGACCCGATGTGAAACCCACACAAATAACATGGTGTTTTTCCTTCAGCAAAAAAATCCCCATGACAAGAAACACCACCAGTGATTTCAAAAGAGAAGGTTTTTTCCTAGCTTTCTGTAATGTTTGTTACAAGACAGGACTACACGATTCATTTATTTATCTTTTTTGCCACTGACTTTTCAAATGGCTAATTAAATCAAAATGAATGGCTGTTGTCCTTTGAAATATTTATGAATCAAAGCTAATGTGGCACCGGGGGGACCTGCGAAGTGACACAAGGGATAATTTTGTCCAGTTATTTATTAAGGGCTTGATCCTGCCACAGAATCTGTTGTTCTTATCTAAGTGCCTCTACCAAATGCTATACTCTCATTTTTGCGAGTAAATCTTAACTTGACACAAGTGCACAGAACCATGCACTAAAGTAGCAGACAAGGTGGTGTAAATGTATACTTAGGCTTATAGATTTTTCCTTTTTGTTAAATAGAGAACACAACAAAGTTCCTATGCATAATCTATAGATTTAAAGCTATTTACTGGATGGTACACAAACAGAGACATATATACAGGAGGAGCTACTTGCCATCAACACAGGAAGGTCTGTTTCTTGTAGTCCCAGCCACTTTCCCAGGTAGACAGGAGCATTTTACTGTTTGTGATCTTTCCTCAATTCGATTCTTATTACAGCATCTGTGTGCTGCTATAACTTCACACGTTCCTCCTTCTGGCAAAAAAGAAAAAAGAAAAAAAAGAAAAAAAGAAAAAGAGAATATTGACACTCTGATTAGGAAGAGCAGCAGCGGCTAATCAAAGCACCCAGGCGTGCTTCTCTCTGCGTCTCTGCACGGCTTCTGTACAGGTGGGATTACAACGCTATTTCTCCCATTATGCGTGCTCCTGAATAAGCCGGGTGCTGCTATAATTCAGTTTTAATAGGAAATGTAGATAAATGCCCCTTTACAGTACATATAGCTTGCCTGTCTTATATTAGAAGCTTCTCTGACATCAGCAGAATTTTTGGCCTGAAAATGAGTGCGTGAGGGTCTGGGCCTGAAGAAACGTAGGTTACACACTACAGTAAATGTGCAACAACTGTTGGCTGATATTATGCTAGTCATATTGGAGGCTTCTTTCCCCAAATACTCTCTCGTACAAGGACAGGGGCTAAGGAAATCCATCTAGAAATAACCTTTTTTCTCCAAATATTTGATTCTATGACAGTACTCAGCCCTTAGGGAATGACAATCAGCCTCGCCAAGTTACAGGACGGTCCAGCAGCACTCCCCTTTGCTACCCCACTCACTAAATTGGCAGTTTTAAGGCAGGAAACATTCCCGTTGTGTACAGGATCACCAGCCTTAATTTGTCTTCTCCGTAACTGTTCCTTACGAACATTTGCAATAGTTTGATTAGGTGGAGAATGCAAAGGAATGATAGACAGATAGATGGTGGCTTAGGGTTTATGAATACTTGGTGTTTGCCCCATATGCTACACCCAGAAAGAAAGTGTCAAGTGTGTTATTCCCATTCACCTTAGCAGTGCAGTGCGAGGAGATGAGACACCACAGTGGGCTAATGCACTGCCCAAGTAATTTCTCGATTCCTCAGTTCAGATTGTATTTAGCTCATAATCACCAAGTATTTAATAGTGCCAGTCTGCTCCCTACAGATATTTGGCTTCTTTATGAAATTGCGGCATAAATTTGGCAGGATTTGTTTAAACTTAGTATGAAACATCATGCACAGACTACTAAAGAGCAGGATGAGTAAGAAGGTTTTCTAGAAAAGCATTATTATTTTATGCCACTGTGAAACGCTAACTGTACATTGCTTTTACTATAGCATAAAAAGCGTTATTCCTGTCTTTGCCTTTCACTCTTTTTGAAACAACTTTTGAGAGCTTTTGAACACTACAGTAACCCTGCAGCCAGGTTGGAGAATAAGCAGTGTGGTGATGCTGATCCACGTCCGGCTGTGAACAAGGGATTTTGGAAGAGGTCTGGGAGTCCAGTGGCATCTCCCTCTTACCTGGTGATTCTACATACGTGACATTTCTGCAGTGAAGCGCTGGGGTAGGTGGGCAGGGAGGAATCTTCCTTGACTATATGTTGTTAAGGTCGTATGGTGGCGTGCCATAAGGTGTACCTGCAGTTTTAAGTGGTGCGACAGCTATCAATGAACAGGGACTCCACAAAGTGTGGAATTGTTTTGTAATATTAAATTTTCAAACCACTGACCTTCCAGGCTGAGTCAGTGGCTGAAAGCCTGTGAATGTCCATTAGGGTAAATGAGCTTAGGTTGTGTGGTCGTAGGGTTAAGCACTGATGAGTTTGCAGGGATGAGACAAGACTAACTCTGCAGTAAACATTTAACTCATCTGGAGAGAAATGCTGTTTCATGTATTAGTTATTAGGTACATTTGGCCTGCTGACACAAGCTTTTTGAAAGCCAATAGGTGCCACAGAAGAGAGATCCCAACAATTCAGAAAGCCGTCATCTGACAAATGGTCTTTTAAGTGTCTCTTAGGAGTAAGAGGAATTGTGACAATCAACTCAGCCCCAAATGCTTGTATTTTTCTATGAAGTAATTCTTCAGATAAACTCCCTGTTCCCTCATCCAAATCGTATTGAAAGCAATGAAAAGATTCTCACTGGTTTAATTCATCTTATGGTCATGCCCTAAGAGAAGAAAGATTTGTGATTTTATTGATTGCAACCTCAACAATAAAGATAATGTATGCAGTAATAAGCATTTCTAATTTTAGACTACATGGACTGTGTGGTAAATATCTGTGAATAAGCTAAATGCTTAATTTTCTCTATTAATTTGCTGTATGACTACTAATAACCACATGAGCTAGTCTTGCTTATTTGGTTATCTATTTGAAATAATGGGTTGTGGTGGATGAGCTTTATAACACCTTTAATTGTTATGTGGAAGCTCAAGTTGCTGCAGCAATAAAGAATTTAACTCAAAGTGTATAGTTGTTTAGGAGTGGCAAAATATAATGAAACTATAAAAGCAATGAAAAAACACTTTTTTTACCACTAGACAGTTAAGTACATTAATTGGAACTTTTATCTGCATGGTCTATAACTGTCATGCAAATAATAATAATAACAACAGTAATAAAAAGACCCTTCTTAGTGCTGACACAGAAGAAAAAATCCATCTTACATGGAGAAAGTTCTGCATGATACACACCTTCTTTTCCTGGAAAATTTGTTATGTGGGATTAGATTTTTCCATTAAAGCATGACTAGCCTATGAATGACTACTGGATAGCATTGCACACAATGTATTTTGCTGGTATATATTTTGCCAACCATGCATGTACATGTTAGACTTTTTAAAAGCCATATACAAAATAGGAATAGATAGAGGTACCCAGACAAATACAAATGGACACAGTGAGGCTAGGAAAAAAACTCATTGAAAAAGCAAACTCTTCATTATGTTATTCACAGAAATATATAAACCACAAATATACTAGAGGGGGGAGGGCAGAGGTTCAACTTAAATCTCTATTTCAGCTGTACAAATGAGGAAACAAGCTAGAGTGGGGAAAGGAAGATGAATCAGTCTTTGGTTTCCACTGAAAAAAATTTTAACATGATCAGATGTATATGTGAAGTAACTTTTTATTCTGTAATTGTTATTTTTTATTTCCAACTTTAATTTTTTTAGGGGGGGAGGAGGGAGAGCGCTAAGAAAAGCTGTAATACCAATATCTGAGGATTTCTGATCACTGAGCCAGTGATTTTTTTCTCAGTGGTTCTTCGAGATTATGGAAAGACCTGGCAAGATGTTGCAGTGCTGGGAGTCCTGAAAAAATGTGAATTATTAACCTGATAGGCTGTGAGTGCAGCAAAATTTTGAATCCTTGTCAAGAAGAACAGAAAAGTCTTTTTTGGAAGTTTATGGTCTATTGAGCTAAGGTAGCTTCTGGCTTTTTTTCCACAATAACAGCCTCATCTAAGTCATTCAAGTCAATAGGGGATTTGCCATTGATCTTAAAAGGAGAGGAAAGGGCCCTAAAATCCTCTAAGTAAGTGTCTTCTGAATGTTTTGTTGACAGTTACATTTCATGAAGTGGCTGCTTTATCCACCTGGTAAGAAAAACAGCTTATGCTTTTTTAATTCCCTCCTGCCCCAAGAAAAACAGAAAAAGATTAGAAATAGGAATAGGAATGGGAACTCGCAAATCAGGAAAGCTTCAGTGGGGAATGAAAATGTCCTAACATGGCTTACACCCTCGCCACACCAAACATTAGCAGGATTTGATAGTAAAAACAGCTGATCCTTTCTGAACGCTCAGTTCACAGGATGCGCTCAACTTTGCACGAAGGAAATGTGATGCCTACCAAAGCAAGAGGGACAGAACTGGCTGCCAGGAAGGGTTCTGGGCTGTTGAAGATGGCAACTATCTGTGGCATTATGGCTCTGCTCATATTTCCCAGCCTTCTGGAAGTCTTCGTTCTCCATAGGCTTAAAATACAAAACTGTAGAAATTACGTATCATTCTTACTGTAAAAGAGGGGTAAGTGTTTGTCACTCCTGCAAATGGTTTAATTCTAATTGGAGGACACTAAACTGCTGAAATCATATTCATTTTTGTCCCTGTTTTAAAGCCACCTTGAGTTTACACACCGCAGAGTTAAATATTTTATCGTAAGCATGAGCTTACTGTATGTGGCTGTGATTTAAAATATCTAATCACCTATAGGGTCTGAGTGCATGCCTGGCAGAAGCCAAAAAACCATCTTCTAGTCTTCTCTGGGTTTTATATCTCTAGCTGAGAGGTAATAATAACAGCATATTTTGCACTTCAAAATTATAACTTGCCTCTGTATTCTAGCCAAGCCTGAACTTATCAGTAAACAAACATAAAAAAGGCAAACAGCAGTACTGATTTGTGTTATACATTGTGGAAGTCATTAACTATGAGTCAGGTAGCAAAACTTATACGTTCTCTCTTTGACAGTGATGACAATTTAATAGTATTTGACTCTGCTGAGTTACATGGAGCATCCTGCAGCAATGAGAGAGGTTGTTTATCAAAATGATAAACATGTTTTCATTTCCTCCTTGGCTGCATGTATGTGATCAGAAGTCTAAGGCCATCAAGAATTCACTTATTCTGGCCACCAGGCAGACATTAAGCTATTCAGGACCATCTGTGCTTGAAATGAGTTCCACTTAATGGACCTTCCTAGGGCAGGTCAGTCATAATGAATGCATGTGTGCATGAATGCATGAGCAAAGCACCGCTTAGGTGAGACTTCTTGGGTTGTTTGGCGGAGGCACAGACGGTTGATAGATAAGATATGCCTTTCTTTTTGGGGTCATACGCCCAGTGATTTTAGAATTCAGATCCTCTGTTACATTTGCTTCTATCTCATCATTGATGCACCACGCAACCTAATCCAGTTGAAGGTTGTTGTAAGAACTTGTTCGTGTTACTTGCAAAAAAATAAGTGATGCCCAAACAACTTCATAGGCTTTGCTGGTCAAATTCTGCCCTGTGTTACACCATAAGCAATCCACCATGGGAATACGAGCAAAGGAAATCATATGGACCAATTTTATCAACATTTCCAGACAGTTCATTAGGACTGTTACTGGGTTTGATAGTTCTATTTATACAGCTTCAGCTAGACAGTCTATGTTCCAGTGTTATGATCCTGTCTGTGGTCATATACCCATATGTTATTCTGATAAAT